CCGAACTGCACCGGCGCCGACCTGCGCTCGGTCTGCATTGAGGCGGGGGCATGTTCTGCGACCCTCGCTCGAGCCGGGCCAGTCCTTGTTTGACGGTCGTGTGTTTTCTTTTTTTAGGCGGGCATGTTTGCGATCCGCTCGAGGCGGAAGACCGTGACGGAGAAGGACATGATCGACGCCGTCAACAAGGTGATCAAGGGCTACTCCAAGTTCTCGGCGACGCCAAAGTATCTCGTGTACAACTAGAGGGCCGGCGTCGCCGAGAGGACTCGTATCTGTATCTGCTGCCACACGGACAGCGGTCGTTTTTCGCGTTGCGTTAAGTTGTTGCCTCGTCTCTAATTTTATCCCCCGGGCCCGCCGCCTGCACCGCTTGTGAGTTCTCATCTTCCTGGACGCTGGAGTGGAAGGACTGAGAGAACTGGTGAACTCGTGAGAGTACACACGCCCTCAGCCTCACGCGGGCGGGATACACACATACACAACTGTCACTGGCCACTACGCGCGCGTGCTGCCTGGACGCGTGGGCGTCGAGCTAGCCGCGGGGAAAGCCGACCAGTACACGATGTCCTGTGTAACCCGTAATAGGGTTTGTTGTAATTTCTTCTCTCCTTCTCTCCGGTGGTTCGCCTGTGATCGTGCGGTTAGTGCTAGGGCGGACGGGCGCATCTCTCTCTCTCTCTCTCTCTCTCTCTCTCTCTCTCTCTCTCTCTCTCTCTCTCTCTCTCTCTCTCTCTCTCTCTCTCTCTCTCTCTCTCTCTGTTCTCTCTCTCTCTCTCTCGCTCTCTCGCTCGACGCTCGCTCGCTCGCTCCTCGCTCGCTGCATCTCACGAGAGAGAGATTTTTAGCAATACCAAACAACTCTAACACTTTTTGTCATCTCACGAGGGAGGGAGATGGACGCTACCCAACGCTGCCAAAGGAGAAACTCCAGAAATAGACGAATGGTGCATGTGAATAGCCTTGCCCACCCAACCCTACCCTGGAACGTAAGCCCATGCTGTTGATAGTAATAGGAATCCTAGTACAGAGGTCAGTACAGTTGTGGTGGAGGGGCCCCGGGCGGGGGAGCGGGCCCGCGCGGGGAGGCGGGTGGAGGGCGGGCGCCACGCCACCGTGCAGGCGCGGGGCGCGGGGACGCAGCCGGGGCCAGTGCGCGGCGAGCTAGGAGCCCGAAAAAAATTCGCAAGTTATCGCAGCGCATCGAGAGCTGCGGAATGAGGAGGCAAAGTTAAACGTTCATCTTCCTCGGCAAAAATAGGGCGCAGGGGCCACTGACTGGCACACACACGGCTCACGCCGACGACCCTCGGCGTCGCGCGGCCTATGGTGCGCCTCCGACTCCACCCCAGCTTCGGCGTGTGCCTTCGCGACCAGGAGCAGCGGTGGGTGTCTCTGGAGCAGGCGCTTGCCGCCAAGGCCGCTGCTCTCTCGGCGGCGGAGGAGGAGATCAAGACGAGCGCCGGATCGGTGGTCGCCCTCCTCGCGTGCTCCCCAGCCGTGCTCGAGGCGGCCACGGAGCTTGCGGCCGCCGCATCGGCATCGTGCGTCGTGGAGAGCGGCTTCGTCTTGCCCTTTCAGCCGA